AGAAAAACAAGAGACACTTTTTCACACAAATGTCCAAAGTTAAATGTATTTTTACGCACCACCTTGAAATTCAGGTATGGTTAGGCTTAGGTTACAGATGTAATTAGACCAGTGGCGTCACTACCAAGGTACTGTACTTAAGGAACTTTACCCCGAATAATGAAAACACATTTTTTAGAAAGTCACTGATTTTTACTGCAAAACCCACACACATACCACCAACTGCTTCATTCGTCACCCACATACAAATGTACAATATTCTTTACACGCGCAGCCACAACATTGGCACATAAAGCACTCCTCATGGAAATGCATGTCATCAACTCCCAGAGCGTAGACTAGAACCACAGGCTACGATTACTACATCAAAACAAAGAATGTAGCAATCAGCAACATCAGTGGCTAAAGGATTTTATATCATGTTTGCTATAAGGCGATTCAAAACAAGAGAATAACGAATACAAAGTGTGCATGTACATGTATAGTACGTGTGCAAAATGGGGAACCTAATCTGCATCTTTCAAATTGTTTGAAAAAGTGACATGAAGGATATCATTGATGCACCTACAGTATTATCAGATAAGACAGAAAACTTCACAGTATGGTGCCTCTGATAATCTCTGACATAAACCACTACAATCTGGCACATGCCCCTCAGTTGTCACACTGAAGCTCTTGGTGGCTGTGATCAGTCAAAAGGCATTGGCTGCCAGTCACAAGTTTGGCACTGTGATGGTTGTTAGTATGTATTTGCATCGTAGTTGCTCATTTTGTAGTACACAGTATGTGAATTTCACACCTACAGTATAACATATTTGTAACAACACTTTACTTTAGCGTGGCATTTGTCTTGTCGTGTAACAGGCCTGAGAGTTCATTGAAGTCACTGTTAAATTGTGAATGAGTGAACTGACTGTCGATGTAAGTTTTAGGGGGTGACTGCTGATAGATCCATGTGATTAGTTAAACTGCAGTGCATTTGAACCAGATTGGAACTGCCGACTGCTGACCTAGATGGAGCTGATAAACTATAGCAAGTATTCATTTAAAATTAAAATACAGCTATTCTCCTAAAGCTAAGAGCAATTTTATGTTAAACAGGCTTTTAATGTATCTCGCAAGAACAGGAATACCTTTCATGTTGCACTACGGCATCAGGCAAGTGTAACTTTTGAGGATAAAACTGTGGTTTAAACTTTAGGACTTAATGTTTAAAAAAGACTTACTACTCAACATAGTTTCGTTCTGTTGAATCCATTGATCTTTCACTTGCACCAAGCATTTAGTAAAACTGCAAGATAATCAAGTCGTAAAATGACTGTAACATATTTGTACAAAGCCTGCCATCTCAATTAAAGATGGCATTAGAAAATATGTGCTGTCTGGTTGTGTGTCACAGTATAAAACACAATAACACTACATTCAATTACTGGGGGATGACAGGCATGTAACTGTCATTATTCTAAACAAGCTGCACTTGTTCATCTTAAACAGGGGGGACAGTTGTTTACAATGACCATCTCCCACCCCATCACCTCTTCTTGTCTCAACCACTTGAGCTAGTTGTTGCAGAAAATGTAGCAAAAGAATATCCTTTTTTTTATTTTAAATGTAGGAAAGCTGTCATAGTATGAAAAACATGCCACCATTTGCAAACAATCTGAGTATAAAAGATGTCTTGTAACAACCAATATCATAGCACTACCTTTTGTGCAATCTGAGCCAAATTTCTACACGCTTAGTCATTAGCATTCAATCATATTTAAAAAATATTTATCAAAGTGATTCATGAATTTAAAAAATCCTGAAGTGTTAAAGCATCCTAATATGAAACAGATTAAAGCTGTGCATTCTCTGCTGGTTTCCAAATGACCTCTGAATTGGTTTGTGGAAGGACATTTTTGTCTTTACATGCTTGTGTCCTTTTGTCCCCAGTAAAATAAATAGCGCTGCGGCTCCAGAGTTATGCAATTACAGTAGTATGGGCAAACACTTCATGATACCGTACGCAATTCGCTGTGTTGCCTTCCGAAGGATGAGATGTATGAATCATATTCTTCACGAAAAGGTCATTGTTTTGCTCAGCTACCTTCAGCAGGAGCTGCCCGGGGTGTTGAGTCTCAGATAGATAAGTCAGAAGTGACCTTAAAGTGAAGGCAGACTTTTGTCTGTCCCCTAGACAAGGTGGGTGCAGAGGAGACACAGTCACATGCAGAATGGGCTGTGTGTCTTATGACTAAACAAATGAAGAGCAAGAAAGGAGAAAGCTTAGCAGGAAAATATTGGGGAAGTTACTGAGTTCCGGACAGGGTTTGTTTTCTTACGTGCCTGTGTGTGAGCTCGCTACATCCTGTTACTCACTTGTGCCTCCTGGTGTTAGCAGGACCCCAATCTTTTGCCCTGTGTTCAGCCCGAGGAGGAAATTGCTTTCTATTTATAATGAGCTGCTGCATTTAACCAAGCCTTACTAACAAGACGAGCAGACTCATGCTATTTAGGCCTCTGTGACTTTGCAGCATTGCAGTTCTAACCCAAAGCATCTCTGCAGCACATATAGACTCAATGTGGACAGTGTAGCACAAGCAGAGGAACAGATGCAGTAGTTTTACCTTTCAAGAGTTAAGGTTAAATGAGAACGCACTAAGTAAACATATCCATGAGTCTAGAAGTCAGCTTGTCTGTTTTAAGGTTTCTGTTTCTCTTGGTGCTGAAAGTTACACCACTTCTGAATGTATTACTCAGTGAAAAGCAGCTGAGCTCAGCAGCCTTGTGATATAATGTGATCCTTGCTTTACACATCAGGCCTCTCAGCACCCCACCTCAGGTTTCATATCAGTCCTCAGTCCGCCTGTGAGCCTGCGGAGCAGAGCGGTGTGAGATGGCAATCTTCCCGACAGCCTTACCTGCTGGCTGCTTTTGCAAAACTAGCTCAGCACTTTTGCCTGTAGTGCTCCTCCTATGACTACAGTGTGAGTTCTGTAGAACAACTAAGGCCAAGCTGGCACACCTGCCCGACAAAGTATTCTATTGTTCAGCCTCTGCTGAGAAGGGAAATATTGCATTATTCGCTCTCTGGTATCTGATTTATTGTTGGCACTGCAGGATTAAATCAAAGTTCTGTGCAAGCAATAGACAAGTATCAGTATAAGGATCGGCAAAAACATCTATAGTGCAGACAAGAATCCATAAAGGAGGCAGTTGTGCATTTGAACTTTAGCCCCACTGAAAAAGCAATGAAATGATAATTCATTAGCATTAACATGTTTTACCATCTCTACTTGCATGTGAGCCTTATCAATGATGAAGCTCAGTTCTGGACCGTGTGAGAGGCAACACACAAATTATAGCATTTCTTAATGGGTGCATCCCTGAATCCAATCATTTTTGTTTACAGAGACATATAAACTCCAGTAACAAATACTAAACAGACAACAGACATATTACAAAATATTCCGTTGCATTATATTAGATCAGATTAGAAGTGGAACGTAGCTTATTTCCAAGCAATGTTAGTTATTAAGTTTGATGGCATTTGGTTATCCCTGGAGTGAATATTGAAACGCTCCCAGACCTCCTGAGAGTGCTCAGGATTTATTAACACTGCAGTTAGGCTCCATAATGATTGCGTTGCAAATCTATAAAAGGTCCCGAAGGTAGAGGCTATACGTCAGTTAGGAGTATAAAAAAAGCCCCTGTCAACGCTAACACACATGGTTCATTATCAGTCTGAGGCCTGGACACACTTTAGTGAGTGGCATCTGTCGCTGATTGCTGTTTAGCTCAATGGAGTTGCTACATCCGTAAAGCAAAAAGAAAAAGACAGCTGGTGTGTGTGTCACTACTCTAGTGCAGTATTAAAATAGTCTTCCAATGGTATTGTTAATGTCTTTAGATTCACATTAGGGGCGCAAGATGCAGTGTCCTACCAGTCTCTAAAACTGTTTTCCCAGATTCTAGTTCCATACTTCTCGTTCAAGTTTCTGCCTCTTGACCCTGTTAGGACAATCCAACTCTTCTACTTCCACTCCCAAGCAAACCCTGACAACACACTGTATTGTACATGATACTTCACCATACACTGTAATGTCCCAGGTGGCCCACTTTCCCCTGATGCACAACCTCTGTGTAAACAAACACCCTGAGATCACCCTCCAGGAGGTCAAACACAGAAGCAGGACACATTACTTCTTTAAAGTAGACCAGACACACTTTTTACTGAAGTTGTAGCTAATCTAGCACAGCAGGTTGAGCAGCGTAACATTCAGAGAAACACTCCGGTCGGTCTTTTACAGCAGGCTGGTATCATTTCTCTAACATGGTCCTGCTCTCAGACGAAGCTTTCAAGAACATTCAAACGTCTACACTGAATACACTGCACATGAATCATTGAACACTACAGCTGCATACTGCTCATAAGGACCACATTCTGTGTGTTTGTCTGGCTTTTGGAGAGTGCACTCATCCCCAGCTGTGGAACAATGCTTACAACACTACATCACCCATAATTCATCACACAGACATAAATGCACAAGGTGCACAGAGTGGTGCAATGACGATAAATGCTAAAAATAGAAAGCTGAATAAAACCTCAGTACAGGGAAACTATGACATGATAAAGCACCAATGAGGGTAGTTGTCAACGTGTTTCTGTGTATAGGCACAGCAGCATATCTGCACCATAAAGCAATATACTGAAGATACAATCTGTATGCAGCATCTCGAAAGAGGGATAAAATCAAGCTTTGTCAACTGAAAGAGGATTATGACTAGCATTTGGTTGTGTATTTTAGGATCTAACTAAGATTGTCTTCCAAACATATCACAAACATCGCAACTGATAACAGTCATTCATTCAAGCCATCCATCATGGTCTCCACTCATTGAGTTAATCTGAAAACTATGCAGAGCATTACCAATCAGTCTTTAGTCTGAGTAGCAGCAATTAACAACAGGCACCAAATGAATAAACAGATTATTACAGTGATGTAGAAACTACTCACCAGGTCATGGTTTGTGGAGTTGGAATCATCTGCTGGGAAGGGTACATACACAGCTAAGGCCATACAGTTGGCAAAAATAGCAATTAATATAAAGATATCAAATGGCCTGAGGAAAAAGGTTAAGGAAAACACGAAAATGATGTATTAAACAGTAAGAAATACTATGGGTATGTTAAGTTATTATGTGTGATATATTCTTCTCCTAAATGATTTGATCCGTATTTCTCGAAAAATATCTCAATCTGCAGATTTACCATATTAGCCAGATGACACCAAGAAACAATTTCCATCTTAAAATTAGTAATAAATCAAAGCACAAACTCTTTAAAATATACAAATAAAATGTTGTCCTGATGCACAACTTCATGAAAATAGATTATTGGTTAAAACAACCAACCAAACTACAGTTTACTATACAGTAGCATTGCTTTATATCTTTCTGCAGAAAAATATGTTTTAATCTTACGGTCAATTCTTCACACTCCTTTGATCACTGACAGGATATTTCAATTAAAAACTTTTAGAAAAACAAACACACTGCTGCACTGCTGCATGCAGTCCATGCAGAACAACTTGGACTGCTGATACAGCCACAGCTACATTTCACAAAGAGTGCTGATGTTAAATCCCTATTGACCTTTTTTTTGGACAGAAACACAAAGGCGGATTATAAAATATTTCTTTGCCATTCACATTAGGCAATCTCCTTTATGACATCTGATGGATTTTGTGATATCAACATCTGCTTTAAAGATGCAATTCGATAGATCTTTAAAGCAAAAATCAAATTTGAGCAAACAGAAATGCTCAGTTTTGGATTAATGCATACAGTTAAGCTCTCCCTCACTATTCTATGGATATGGGTTCAAGAACAAATGAACAAAAGAAAGTAAAAACCATAAACCACCTAGTGAAAGCGTTGTTTGAACTAGAGGTTCAGATGATATACTGGAAGATTAGCTCTGGTTTAACTCGAGACTAATTTCACTTGGTGTCCAACCAACAGGCCAAAACACGAAGACATCCAATCTCCACGGACACAAACGAAACGAGTCTCACATTGAACCAGATAACGCTTAGTGTTTTTCCTTGAAAGATTAATCGGCTAACCAAAAAGGTTCCAATTAGCTTTCCAATCTTATCGATTTATCAGCTTAATCTGAGCTCTGTGAACAGGTAATGGTCTTTGGTCAAATCTCCACACAGACATGCACCCAGCCCCACACTAAGCCGCAGTTAAGGATACTTCCACTCCACCAGGCTGATGCAGGCCCTGCGTATGGGGTTGTTGAGTTTGAGGCAGAACAGAGCCCTCGGGGGCCTGCTGTTGGCGTTACTGCCCTGTTTCTTGCTTTTGGCATACTGCTGCCTCTTCTTCTGTGCCAACGCACCTACCGGGATGGTAGTGGACGCTGGGGCAGGCAGGGCAACAGGTGCGGGGGGTGCCACAGGGGCTGGGGCAGGGGCCACAGCAGGGGCAGGGGTAGAGGCAGGAGGGGCCTCTGGGGCCACGGGGGCTGGGTCCGGGGCGGGCCCGTTGGCGCTCATGGTGTGGGCGTGGCTCTGTGAGGAGCATCCAGCAGCATGGATCTGCCAGGGTAGACGGGGTGGCTAGAGGAGGGCAGAGCAATCTGACCAATGAGCTGGCACGTCACCAGGGGGAGCGACTCTGGTGCTGCTGGCATAGTTTGCCTCTGAGAAGGAGAAAAAGGGGAGAAAATCATCAGTATATTTCACAACAATATGTTTTACAACAATAAAGACTAATTGATAGTGCTTGTCTTCAAATCACTACAGTACATCGACTTGCATAATGCAATACAACACACTTTAAGGTTGTTGTCCGTGTTTATAAAGCTTTGTAAGACCCAAATGCATAAGTTTGACCTGCAACAAAGCTACTGAGACCTCTCAGGTAACGTTTCCGTTATTCCCAATATTTCAGTTCATTATGTCAGTTCAATGTCTGATAAAGCTGCCTTTAGATTGTGTGACCCCAAATGCTTTAACAGGCCTCCTTATGCAATACATTGGTTGTAACATAATCATTTGAGACCTACTGTATGCCTGTTGTGTAAATCATTCAAATAATGTTGATTAAGTGGCTATCTCTTCTTCCTATCTTCTCCCTTCTTCTTTTCTCTCCTTTCTTTTTTAAATCTGTGTGTAAAGCCTCGTATAAATGTGCTATCTAATACAGCTTGACTTGCCTTTATCAAATATGTTTTCTTTATTCAAGTTACTGACAATCCAGCTCAAACTGTAATGTTTCTACTAGAAGATGGAGCTAAATCAAAATATGTCTCTCCCATCAGTGCTCGTGCTGCAGAGGTGCACAGAGAAGGTATAAAATACATTAGATGGTCCAAATGGTCTCAAAGGCAATGGGAGTACAGTGAAGTAAAAAGATGAAGACAGGGGTAATTCATATTGGTATATAAAAAAAATACTGAGCTACAACTTATGTAACAACGTTTTAGTTTAGCTTAGACATAACTGATGTTATGATCACAGACCTACACATATCAAAGATGGCAGAATAAAGAAAATAAGTCGGACAGCTCATTGAACTGCTCCAGTCTCTTTAAGGATGCAACCTAGATAATTCAATAAGGTCAGCACACTTGTAATGTGTCTTGTTTGTTTTCATAAACAGTGAAAATTATGAAATGTGCCACTGAAGCTGAGGACCGTTCAACGAGAAATATAGCAGGTTGGCCTGGTTCTGGTGATGCCATTAAATTCTTAAATGTATTTAATCCAACATTTCCTAAATCTGAACATATATGAGGGGAAAATATAAGCAGATAATATGCAGATGTCAACAGGGAAATTAAGCTTTAAATTCAGCCCTGCCACTCTCAGGCATCTCTTGGTCACATCAGTTGTGTAAGTCCTTGAACTGCTGAGCAGGCCCCGCAGAGGAAGGAACAGAAAAGGTCACATTGCAGTGATGCCCCAAGAAGAATTCATCTTCATATGGCAAAGAGAAAATATGATATGTGTGTTACTGTGATGTAAGACTGCACATCATGTAGTGAATTCAGCCAGCTTTTCATCTCCTTTGTGCTACGATGGTGTCTTGATGTAGCCGAGGCTAGTGAGCTCGATTTATGAACAATGCCTACCAAATGCGCTTATTTTTGGAATTTTAATTTCACTGCTGCATCGACAACGTCGACCGTGCACCCGTGATGAAAATGAACACTGACATTTCCATGAGCGATTCGTGACAAAGTAACCATCACCAAGCGTCCTCGTAATTCTCCTTGGACGCCACCAAGGTAGGAAATGGCAAAATCCCCCCAAAAAATGATGTGAAATGACAGGCTGACTCCGGGCGCTCATAGTGAACAATTGAGCATCGCACAGCCGTAAGATGGTCCTCGCTGCAGCTCAGCAGAAAGCATCTTTATTACAACAAACCTGGATCAGAGAAGCTCTGACTCTCAGGGCTAATATAGTGGACAGTCCACATGACCAGAGCCCACCTCTGTTTGTGGAAAAAGGTACCAACCCGGTATCAGCCCAAATCAAACTCCATTAAAATGTATTTACGTGTATTGTTCATGACAGCGCGATTAATCTCCTCCTCTGAATCCATAAATCATGACAGCGTCGAGAGAAAAGTGGCCATTTAATTATAACGGCTGTCCTCTGGCAATAAAGGCTATCATCATTGCCTGCATGCAGGAAAACGCAGCTATGCTAAGAGGCTAACTTCAGTCAGTGGAGCAGAAACCGCACCGTGCTGTACCTTTTATCCGAAGACTTTATGACTCAGGTCCTCTCCGCTCGGTAACACGGGTCCAGGGCGAGAAACGCAGGTTCGGTCTCAAACAGCGGGGTCAAATTCATCAGCTCCGGTAGCAGGAGGGACACATACAGCCTGTGCATTAATTAAGCTCTTCCATGGTGATCGTGGAGAGCTGGAGAGCTGGAGACAGGAGAGTGCGCACCAGACAACAGAGCATCCTCGTCCGCTGCCTGCTTACCGTCACGGCGCCAGTCAACAGTGAAAGAACAGCAGAGCTCTCCTCCTCACATCCGGAGGTGCTGCTGTGGCATGTCCGCAATGTTACCTGCTCACCGATAAAAAGGTGACCCACTTAAAACAGGGTGTCACATGCCGCATGCGTTAATCACGTGAAGGTCACGAAGGCAACAGAATAGACTCAAATCAGTGAGCCTGGTTATTTGTTCATTTTGTAAGTGATCTATGAGGCACTAAACAGGCTTAGTAAATTATCTTACTTTCTAAAAGGGTTTACAGGTTGAACCTAATGGTTAAACAAAAAGACTACTTTATTAATGCTTTATTGTTACGTTTTAACCTACAGTCTGTGGTTTTAACCCAGGGCCGTCCCTGGCCAACTTGGGGCCCCAATCGACATTGTGAGATGAGGCCCCCCCCCTCCCAACCAACAGGAGTGAAAAATATTTTTTTGGAAACAAAGTACTTTGCAAATATAATTCCTGTTTATTATTATTATCAACACGGTTACTTTTTTATACAGTGAGGTAAATGGTAAATGTGCATGTATGTCGTTCAGTATGCGTTTACAGGTGAATACGTCTGCATTTCCTGCCAAATACTAGCCTCAAAAAGATAAAAATATAATTAATGCAAATAAACTACTTCTAATAATAATAATAATAATAATAATAATAATAATCATAATCAATTCAATAATATAAATACTATATTAATATAGTTGTAATATAGTCAAGACAAAACATGCTTATTACATGCTCAAAAACTGATATTTCTTAAATCTGTATTCAAATGTAGTTCCCTCTGTCAGCAATGTATCAACAACTACACACACATTTCTATCAGTATTTCTCTGTGTTGTGGTTGACATGATGATGACTGTTAGGAGTTAAGGGGAGAGGCTGAGCATCACCATGAAATGTGCAAATTGACATAAAAATGAATAAAAGGGGAATAAATGCTCCATGTTTTTTAGGCTGTAAACTGTAACTGTTATGTACTGTTAGCCAGCTAGACAGACAGTGTATCACTCTTCCTCCTGTACATTAGCAGATAAAAGGCATAAAATACTTGAATGAATGGTAAATAAAGAATGCAGGGGTGCGCGGAGAACTGCGCTGAGAACTGCGCACAAGCCGAGCTCAAAAGCCGAGGACCCCTGCGCGAGGCCCCCTGCGCAATGTGAGGCCCCATGCAGCCTGCATGATCGGCCTGTAGGGAGGGACGGCCCTGTTTTAACCCATTACCAAGAACAGCTTTTGTGTTGCCAACATATGAACATCCCTTACATCACATTAACTGACAACTTATCAATAAAAAAAGGATTATAAAGCCAACTGATTTATTTACCATAACACAACTTAAGTAACACTTGGGAGACCCTAATTGGTATTCATTCCTATGATTAGCAAGGGTAATTTATTAGAATGTAGCCTACTACCAAATAAAGACAGGATAACATCCATCAGGACAATAACTGCTCCCCAAATTTCAAGACCAATTTTGTCAATAAATAATTGCCATTCTATAAGTGAAAACTGACACTATTTCCTGCTCAAAATATTATTAAAGTAACTTGTTTTTTTTAAATAAATGATACAAAATGATCAAAAGGACATGGAATCATTATAAAGTAAATTATAAATAATGAGCAATAATAATTTATAATTTCCAATCTTCAGAGATCTGGGTTCTGTAAATGCAAAAGGCCCATCAGTCAAGACTAAGGCATGTTTGACAATGCACTGAATTGCAGGATTGGGAGATTCTGCTGGTGAAAGGCTTCTCAGGCTTCTCAGGCTCTCCCCCCCCCCCCCCCCCCCCCCCCCCCCCCCCCCCCCCCCCCCCACACTACAACAGGCTTTCTATTGATCATCAGCAAGCAGTTGCTCAGCAGTTTTTTTGACATCGTTATCATTCATTTGGAGTTGTGAATCTATCTTTTTTCCCCTAATGTTTTTTATGTCTATCTTGTTTAAGTCAGTGAAAATGTCTCCTTTACCCTGACATGTTGCCCTCCATCAAACTGTTCCCTTTGCAATGGAACTACATTTCCCATTTGCCTCCTGTGCATGTGATGATAAAGTAAGTCACACCACCCTCCTTTTCTAATGGTAAGACACACTAGAGCAGCTCATTGTGAGCAAGCACATTCTGGAGTGTTTCAGATGTACAAAAACATGCCTTCCCCCACAAACGTATCATTAATTTAGGTATGTCCAGCGTGAAACCATTTTACATCCAGAAATAATACATTTGGTTTTACATCAGCCTTTTCTCTGGGGTCAAATAGAATGCCTCCCATTACGC